ACATTTTCTTTCCTCTTACACTCCACAGGGAGGAAAAAAGCTTCTCTATCTCTTTTCCCAGCCATAAAAACTCTACTACGATGTTCATTATTGCATCTGCATGTAACAAAAAGAACAAAATGTTGCATATAAGTTTATAACTTCATGGAGTTAGCCATTTTTTATACTTCGATATGTGTTCTTTTTAATATTCACGTAAGGCTTAATTAGCATGTTGGCTATGATTCATACTATATACTTGTATAAAATCGAATCACATGCTTTTTTGAGTGCTGGATTGCTCAAAAAAAAAAAACTTTTTTTCGTTTTTATTGTTAAAATATGACTAATTTTTATATAAAGTGTAGTGGTGATGGTGCGTGTTAAGAGGACTACATATAGTCCTTATTCGTTTTGTATATGTCCGTATTTACTAGTCCTTATTATATTACATATTGTAGTAATGCATTTTAGTAATATTTACGAATTCGCATTGATTCTGTGACACAATCATTTTGCTTCTTGAAGGCAACTTTTGCAATAAACTTCGAATGTTTCAGTTTCATCATAAAATGATATTATTTTTGGATACGAAAAATATGATTTAAATTTTGTGCTCTAATTTTGCATTAAACTGGACCAAAATTTTTGGGAAATCCTCTTGTTATTGAAAACTAATACATATATAAAAGTAGAAAATAGTAGTTTCTCTAAATTGTTTTGAATTTCTTTTAAATGAATGTCAAATGCTTCTAGGATTAATATATTCCTAATTGTAATGGGTAAGAATTGCAATAAAAATTATAGCTCATAGGAAATGTAGAATTATAAAACAATCAGATAATTATGAATTTTCTCAACTGTATTCAGAATTCTTGCATCTTTTTCTTAGCATTGAGTCATCTATGATTGTTTCACTACTATGACCTAGCTAACTACAGTGTTATCAAATGAGTCTTACAAAAATGCATATTATGATGCTTCAAATCATTAAAACAGTATAGATAATGGCTATCTGGTTATCTCTTGTGTAAGGTCTTTCTGATTTGTATATAAAAAATATTTGAGTTATATTTATTTTATTGACAAATGTTTAGAAAGCAGACATAAAACTCTGATTGACTTAAATGAATGTAGGTCTTTACATTTATGACTTAAATGAATGTAGGTCTTTATACTGAAAATAATGCTAGTTTCATAAACTCCCTACAATTAAATATAATATGAATTTCTTGCATATCTATGAATTTGCAATTTGAAAGACACACAATTTGCATTTTTGATAGTCCAGTATCAATGAACACATAAATTCAGAAATTTTAATGAAGAAGATTTCTACTTTTTCACAATATTCATTTAATTTATTTACAGTTATGTATAGAGTTTGAGCTTAATTTCAGGAGAGGAGACTAGAAATGTTAATCTTTTGTTTACTCGTTTACCTGTTGTAAAAGTATCTGGAAGTGGCATTCGAAGGTAATTTGAAATTTTGACTTTAATATCTTCTACAATTTAAACAAAATGAAGTAATGTGGTATGCATTATAGAAGAAGATATGATTTTACTAAATAATTACAATATTATTTTAAAAAAAAACTGGTGTAAATATCTTATTTTTCTTTCATGTCTTTCTTTTTCTTTTCTTTTTTTTTTTTTTTTTTTCATTAAATTACTAGACAAATTGCGTACTTTTGACCGATCTTACTAAAAAAGGTTTGGTTCCTGGAGTAATCATCCAAATAATTTTAAAAATCATATAAAATGTGAAAAAGGTTGGATAGGAGGTAGTCAGCTGAGGAGCATTTGATATTTTCGTTTGAAAAGTAAAAAAAAAAATATATATCTTTTCTCATTTTAGATCTTTTTTTTTTTTTTTTTTACACAAACCAACCTTATCTCATATAAAAAAAATAAAGCTTTGAAAACTACAGATCTCAATAAGTTCAATCTCAGTGCAGATTTCAAAAGTTCTTTTGATGCCCTTCAAGTTCCATAACAGACATAAAAATTCTTGTCAAAGGCATCTCTCGTGAATAAAAAATACATTTTTATTTTAATTAAAAAGAATAAATATTTTAGTTAAATAATAGTTTTACTTTTAATAAACATTAAGTTAAATTAAATTTAAATAATTCTCTTGCGCATTGATTTAAGTAATGAAATTTGAATTTAAAAACATTCTCTATTCGTAAAAAGCAAAATTTAAAGTTAATTAAATTTTAAATTATGAAATTTAATTGTAAACAAATGAATGATTAATTATTGCTGCGAACTAATCTGCAATATCATTTAAATTCTGAATACATGGATGACGAAACACGAATTGAATAATTGAAGAGTTTAGGTTTGGAGGCAACTTCCCTTGATAAGTTTGTCTCCTGCCTGCTCAACAATTATTCACTTATACATTTTAAAATTTTTTTTAGGATTAAAAATTTTTTGGAATTATATATTTATTCATGGATTTTGATACTTTCACGTAATTTTTATATATGCTCTCAGAATTTAAATGATATTGTAGATTAGTTCGCAGCAATAATTAATCATTTATTTGTTTGCAATTAAATTTCATAATTTAAAATTTAATTAACTTTAAATTTGCTTTTTACGAATAGAGAATGTGTTTGTTAAAGTTTTATTTTAATTAAATATGTTTTACTTTTTTGTTTATTTGCATTTTTTCTATTGATTAGTTCTTAAATGTTAATGTTTTTTAAAGAAATCGAAAGTTGATTAAAGAAATCGATATATTAATATAATATAATATATGAATCATATGCTGAAAAATTCTTTCCCTATGCTATTTACATACTCAAATGGGTTTTTTTTATACTGAAATAAGTACTGGATATATACTGAAAAGTTTTTTTACATTCATATACTGAAAAAGTATTTCCTTATGCTATTTATATAGTGAAAAATGTTTCCTTATTGTGAAATAAATACTGAATGTATACTGAAATGCGTTTTATATTCTTCCCTAATGCTATTCATATGCTAACTTGCTAGTTTTGGAAGACTTGTTTTTAACTTTCCCTCTATATTAATTTCCAAACTTAAGCTGAAACTTCGTTTGAAACATTAAACCACGGTATTTTATAAAAGAAGACTCCCATCATAAGTTATCTATCAGTATTTTATGAAATGTTTGCAGTCAAATATGATAAGTTTTAGAATGAAGTTGCAGTTTATAATATTAAAAAAAATTTAATTAAATAATAAAAAATACTTTCATTGTAAAATACATTTTTTAAAAAATTAGGTAGTACGCAGTAGAAAAAAACTGTAAACATAGCAGAAATTTCCGCCTAAGTTAGAACTAATATTTAATATTGCTTCATAAATATTTGCGAATAAGCTATACATGGAAAACCATAAGCATATTTTTGAGAATGTATTTTTGTAGCAAAAGACCGATGTTTATAGTGTTACCCATTGCAAAAAACATGAAACTCTCTAAAATACCTTTCATATTTATCAAATAAAACTTCCATTTATATATCATTCTATATTTAGCAAATGAAAAACTGCTTATAAGGATTTTTAACGTTAAATTTACATTACTGTCATATAATAAATTATTTTTAAAATTATGTTATATAATCAGTATTGATCAAAATTGAAATGACTAGGGATTTAAAAGCAAATCTCTTACCTCAGTTTTCAAATTTTCCCCCTTTTAAATATACAGAAATACGCAATAAAATACCGTATTGTCTCAAAACATAATGGTGTCATATATGAAAAAGTTTTGTCTTTTAAGAATCTTTCAGAAAGACAAAAGGGGCTTACATATAAGATGTGCCCACGTATATAAGTTTGATATATCAAGTAAGCAAGAAAAGCCATTAAAAGTCTAATCTTATTATATTTGAGATAAAATTAAGTAAATATATCTCCCATTGCTTTACGAGTTAAAAATACTCTTAAACGTATTCTTTAAAATTAAGCTGCCTGATCAGGATGATTTCAGAAAGGAATAGAAATTGAAAATTTCGTCTTATATGCATCCACAATGGTATTAAATTTACTGAATTTTATTAAAATATAGATAGCTTATTAAGCTAAAAATTTATCCACTGTAAACAAATACTCTAAAGTCATTTTCTCACACAAACATGAATTAATGAAAAATGAAACGAAATAAAATTTTAATTGATAGGAATTTTTCAAAAATATCGTTATTGTTAATACCAAATCTCCAATAAATTTTAGCTTCGCATACCGTTTCAGTTAATAAATGATATTTAAACGAACAAGGCATCATCATTTGTCGTTCATAATTTCTCTGATGAAATAAAATTTGATTTATACTACCAAAGAGTGTATACCAAAGAGGCTTAAATAAAACACATTATATGGAGTAAAATATCATTCACATATATTCATGAAAGCTAGTATAATTGTAAATATCAACTCTAAGAGCATAAAAGTTCGCCTAATATTTTTCAGAAAATATAATGTAATTACGACTCATGTTAAAGCTGTAGTAATAAAAACATGTATAATTATATCAGACATTAAACATCCTCATTAATTAATGTATAAAAAATTTACACCTGCAGTTGAAAATTGTAGGCTATTCCCCTTAAATAGTCTAAAATAGGCCGATCATTATAATCATTTACAATCTTTTGAATTCTGAGAGATGTATCTCTGTAAACTTTTCTACTTACTGGTGGATGGTGACCTGCAATGTATTGTTCAATTTTTATAGAATTTAAATTTTGTTCCTTTTTTTAAGCAATCAATAAATTTCCAGATTGTTGGATGGCATCCGTTCATAAGTTCGTTGAATCTGCGATGCCATCCTTCAACCGCATTATTTGTCCTTGGAACTTTATCTTTTACAGCATCATAACAGTTCCAAAGAGAGATGTCAAACACTGGTCTGCGACGTTGTCCACGACGAGTAAATCTACCAATCCATGTGTCTTCAAAATAATTTATGATTGACTGAATGATGTTCATATTATTTACAAAATAAGTAGATGATATTAATTGTTCAAATGCTTCAATGACTACTGAAGGAGGAACGTACCCAAAGCTGCAAGCTGAGAGATTTCCAAAATGAGACTCGGATCATTTTCATATTTACATTGCAAACCTGCAGACTGAAACTTTCTATACACACATACACACAGGCTTAAAAGAAAAAATCCTCTCTGAATGATATTCTGAAAGGAATCTGTAAAGGCATTTATGGCAGCCTTTTCAAAATCAGTCATTACAGTTTTGGGCTGCAGATTCGGTTTCAAAGATTTTATCACCGTAAACACTCTATTGTATGTTTCTTCTTCGCGTTTGTTTGGCATTAATACATACACTGAAGGTATCACATTATCATATTTAACACCATGGATTGTATAAATCTGACTGAAAAGCGGTGGTGTTGCTTTAAAAGTTCCATCAGCAAACCAGTTCGGACATTCAGCCATGAAGTCCAGATTTCTGAGGGTCGAAAAAATTAGAATTCTGTCTGTCTGCGCTCCACTGTCATACAGCAAAAATTTCTCTTCTTTTAGTGTTTTTGAAAACTGTTCTGGGATTACTAATTCTTCAAGACATCTAGGATTATGCAATGGCATTTCTCCGTGTCGAGCATATCTGATAATTTTTTTAATATTTTCCACTGGTGGTATATGCCCCGAAACAGCACAAGGAAGACCAATTGTACCAACTGCTGCTAAAGAATGTGTCGATTCTTGCGTTGTTACCGCACGCTCTTTAATTGAACTCATAATCTCTTTCGCTGTAATTTTGCCAGCATTTGGAGGATGCCCGTGAGATTTTTCAAGAATGATATTATCATCTTGAGTGTGAATTCGCCCTTTGCACTTACAAGTAAAATACTCTACACATTTCCAAATACTTTTCTCAGCACTAGCACGTTCAAAATTATAGATGTATCCTTTCACCATAAGTTGTTTACGGTTCTTTTGGCTGATGATATAGTGTAACGGCATGTTGGCTTCTCTGACAGAAAATGCAGTTAAGTTTCCGAGTTTCAGGTACAACTAAGACTTGGAGCATCAGACATACATTATTTACCTAATTGTCAAACAATGGTTTTCTCGAGGCAGGAGCCACCTGTTTCCCCTTCAGGCTCAAATGACGTTTTACAGTTTGTTAAGTAAAAATAAGCAGGTGTTCCATTATTGAACACAGTTAGTATATGTTTATTAGTAGTTGAACACCAGGAAAATTTCTGTGAACTGAAAAATGTCAGCTAAGCAATTTACAATTTGATTTATTTTTAGTGTA